CTGGAATGGGTCGCGACAAATGCAATTAACGCTTTTGTGCACTAATAAACTGGTGCCGCATTCAAGTCAACGCTTTTGTTGTCCGTCAATTTTAATTATGTTCGGGTTAATGAATTTTATTGCATCTTCATAGCAGTCTGTGTCCCTTTGTTTTTATTTTTTCCCCCTTCATTTTAATAAAATTGTTTTCCACGTATTTTGAAGGGGAAATATTCTCAGCTTTTCGCAGTAAAAGGACATTCTTGGAATTTTTTAGTCCCTTCCTGAGGTACTTGAAATATTAATTTAATTTTTAATCTGATTTTATTTTGCAATAAAAAGAGATGTAAAGGTGAACTGAATGATGGAATTTATCTCTGATGCATTTCCGTCCCGTTTTGTAAATGGTCATAACTGGAACTTAATGCACTACTTGGACCACCTATAAAAAATAATTTTAAATAAATCCTTTTCCAGTCTTTCATTCAAGCGAAAGAATGCAATTTTCACCTTTCAACTCTGGGGAAACTCACTTTTTGCACTTCTCCACCATTACGCAATCACGCACAAAAGGGATTCGATTGCAAAGGATTGGGGTGAATAAAATAAGGGATAAATATCATTGCTGAATGATTGTTGGCGGATTCAGGCAAATGTTATTAAAACCTGAAGATTTCTTCACGTAGATAATTTCGTATAAAAATTTGCATTTAAATGCGTATTAAATCGCACAGAAAATGCAGCGAGTGTGAGGGATATACATACATATGCATGTACAATGTACAATATACCTTGTACATATTGATATGGAAGGAGATAGATGATGTTACGTATGTATATGTATATGTATACGTAAGCGTACGTGTGTTGGGTAAAAGATTAAACGCATGCTTTGCTCTGCATAATTGTTGCATAATGAACTGAAGGATATGAAGGATGTGCTGCCCAAGCGTATGCTCAGAGCCGGAACGCAGACTCCAGACCATCCCATACACATGTCTGAGTGGATATTTATATGCTTTTGTAGCTGACCAGGACGGAGGACGGAGAGCCAAAAGCAGGGCCAGGAGCAGCAGCATTCTGAAGCATGAGTGGATCACTGGCAGAAAGGGCAGTAAACAAAAATCCCCCAGCGACGTTAATTAAATTGCATTGCATATGCAAGATGGCTGCATTTTAATTGGATCGGATTTAAGAATAATGCCCAAAGTCATCAGGATGCGTGCTTGGACCAGCCCGCTCCATTTCCCCTCCCATCGGGGATGATGGCACGCATTATGCACCTCCATCCACAGAGCCATCCAGTAGCTCCTTCCAGCCCAGCCCTCACCTCTGGCATTAAGTTCATGAGCAAAGTTTTGCCTCTGGAGCCAGAGACAATGGCCAAAGAGGATGCCAGGCGATGCGATGGCAAAAGTTAACTCCGTCTTGGCTTGCGAAAAGAAATGCTCGTATATATACACTGAAAAAAAGAGATAAAATTGTATAATATTGGTTGTTATTCTTAGAAGAGCAGACTTGTTCTGGTTAGACGCCTCCTGTTCTGTACTGAGACTTATATTCGCAATGATTTCATTTTTCTGCGTGTAAGAATGGGAGAAGGAAGCGAGGAAGAGAAACTTTTTTGGTTAGCTTCATCATTGCGCCGCTGAGAGTTTACCATTGGGATCTTTGGATCAGCAACTCGCTCTAACAAACCAATAATAATTTCCGGCAGCAGGAGCCGGAGCATCTCCGCCAGCTGCGAATGCAACTTGGGAATAGTCAGGGATATACTCGTACCCGCACTTGGAGAGAGATTGCAGCGGGAAGAGACCGGCAGGCTGGCGGATGTTCGACTGATAGTGAGACAAACAAATTGAATTGGCCAACACAGCTTCTCCACTCAGCTCCCTCAGCTCTCCAGTGAGCTGCCTTTGGCCTAATGTGGTTATGTAAGCGGAGGAGTCCGAGTTAGTTCAGAGTGGCAAATGTAAATAGAATCGGACAGTAGATAAGCCATTGATTTAAAAACCAATTTTAATCTCAAATATTATTCAAACTTTTGGTATTATTTATTTACAGCAAAAAACTGGAAGCAAAATAAACCAAAAGAGAATAATGAAGTAGAGCATTGCGACGAAATAATACCTTATATTTCAGCATAATATTATTCTGCATAAACCTGCATTAAAAGCACACTCAAAATTATATTCTACATTCGATTAATGAATTTATTTATCTCTACAATATTTCAATATACCCCATGTGTACCCAATGTGCATAGCCCTGGACTGCGAAGTGATAATAATGGAACAAAATACCAATATACAGATGCAATTGTTAATTTTATTATGACCACACATTGTTTGCTTCAAGCACACACTCAAATACTCGTACACGTACCAATACATATACATAAATAGGGAATAAATACATACATGGATGTGTATAGAGGAAATGCATTGGTTACTCATTTACGGTGGATGGCTGGGAAAGGGATTAACGCGCGGCTTAAATCGCAGTCAATTTACTGCCCCGCGGGCCTAGGCAACAAATTTGCATTTTCAACTTGTAAACAAATCGAAAAGCAATTAAATTATTTAAATAAAAACAACATCGGCGAAACGTTGGCCAGGGCGGCAGGGACCGCAGCAAGCCGAACGAACAATAAGCGTGCGCCGAGCCTCCCCAAGCATAATGATGAAAATTCTGAATTAATAATTACGCACTCGCCGCGTCGAACAATGGAAAGGGGAGCATGTGTGGGGGCAGCGCCTGCAGCAGACCGCGCTGCATTATAAATGCTAATTTGTGGCTAAACCCTTAACCACTGGGCAGGGGAGCAGGAGCAGAGGTCCGAACAGGAGCCCGATCAGAGTACCACACGGCACAGGACACACATGTCAATAGCACTCATACGCCCAGTTGACCAAATCGATGATGAGTCCACACAACACACGCACAGAGAAATAGGAAGGCGGAATGGATATACTTATATTAGGAAAACCAAGCACGCACTGCCCACAGTTGGACATCCATAATCCTTATCAATTGTATTACTTCCGGTCAATACTAAACACTGACATATCCTATTAATTTCATAAGCAATTGAGTGCAAAACTGTAAAGCGCACAAGAAGGCAAGGGCCAAGACGAAGACGAAGGAGAAGCTGCTTGGACTTGGACTGCCTTTCGCCTTGTATGTACGTGACTCTTTTTGATACGAATGAGCGCACTTACAGGACATTGGCTTGATGGAAGGACCAGCAGCAGTAGCAGTAGCAGGACCAGAACAGAACAGAACCACTTTTATTCTCAGCTCTGGAAAATGTTCACATTGTTCACGTGCCAGTCCGGGTCTCCAGCTCGTGCTCGTGCTTCTGCTCCTGCTCCTGCTGCCCATACCACAATCTGATTGTACATTTCGCGAGATTACGGCAAACTCTCATTATTAGAAAACGGAAGCCCGGAAATGAAGTGCCGCAGTAGCCATGTCTGCTTCTCTGTCTCTCTCTCTCTCTCTATCTCTATATCTTGCTATCTCTATCTCTTTCTCGATTTCTTGTGCTTCTCATATCAATAACTAAGCAAATTGTTTGCCAAATGCCAGCATCCCAGGCACATGCTTTAAATTTCACTCTTTGCTGCCGCTGCCGCTGCTGCTGCCACTGCCTATGCTCCACTGTTCTCCATGGGTCGGTCGACGTCGACTGTCTTCCTCTCCGCATCGGACATGCTGCTAATGTTATTTTAGGAGAACTTTTTTAATCTGCCCCTGCTGCCGCGGCCGCTGCTGCTGCTGACAGAACCAATTAAGCGCAACCAAATACACAGAGAGAAACAATAGCCAAAAATCGAAAGTTTAGTTTTCCCGACTATTGAGATACCGCAGAAATATACGAGTATACTTTTGCAAGATCTATCCTTATTTTCAATCTCTATTTTAATTGTGAAAAAGCACGAAAAAACTAAGTAAGCTCCAGTATTTCTTTGACTTCTTCAGCTATTCAAATCTCTAAGATTTTGGTATTATAAAAGACACATTGACGTTCAGATAAGTATGTACATCTGGAACTAAATTCAGGGAATCCAATGTACCCTTATTGTTTTTGAGAAAGGGTATCAATATACGAAACAAGGTTGAAAAATTTCAACAATTTCCAAAAAGGTTTGTGCCGAGTGGGTGGTAGAAATGGAGAGAGGTGGGGAGGTGGCTAGAGTTCTGCTTGCTGTCCGCCGCAATCAGCGACTCAACCGGACCCTCTGTATGTGTGTGTGTGTGTGTGTGTGTGCTGGCCATGTTGTAAAACGTCAAAAGCGTTAAACGTAATTGAGCTGCGCGCACAAATACAAATAAATAAATGCCGTTGCAGAGCGGTGGAGAGCAAGAGGAAAAGGCCAGAAGCAGAGTGGAGTCGTGGGAAGCGAGACAGAATTGTCTGCTGACGATGGCGAGTGCTGAAAAGTTGAAATGTTATTTGAAATGTTGCAACCAGTCAGGCAACAGTAGCAGCAGCAGCAGCTCCACCACCACCACCGACAGTAACAAAGGGCCACAGCTCCATGTACCAAAAATTGGTATTTAATTTTCAACCCAACTTGCAGTCCACAGGGAAAAACGCAGTTGCTCGCTTCACGTTTGCCTGGCCAGAGCAATTTGCCGCATTCCAAACACACATACACAACACATAGCCCAACATCCATAAAAGATCTAGGGGAAAGAGCAGCTGAAAACAACAAAAAAACAGGACCTATGATTCCTTCGGGACCGAAGCTCTAGATACCCTTGCCCATGTCCATGGCCCATGTCAGTTACTCGATTCTGATTTGATTTGGGTGAGTTCCTCTCTCTCATTTATAGTGTGATCAGACTTTGGCAGTTCTTACGTATGTATAGCCTTGTAAATTGCCTACGAGATATATTTAAAACATATGACAGTCGAAGAGACTACCTGCTGTGGGCTGCAAACATACCGAGAATATCGAAGTATCCCCTGAAAAGTTGAACAGAAAAATACAACAAAACATTTTTCCACTGAAACTTTTACCAGTTGTCTGTGTCTAGTGAAATTTCCTGTGTTTTTCTTTCATATATTTTCCTGCCTTATTTTCATTTGACAGCCGCTAGAGCAGGGAATTGATATCGCACGGAGGGAAGGACGTTGAGTAAGATATATTTTTCTGAAGATGGGCTAATCATTTATGCAAAAAGCTCATACATTTTCGATTAGCCAGCGTTTAATCAGATTTGGAAGCAGAGTTCGCAGAACTTTGTTATCCCATCTTGGGTCTGGGAGTTCGGTGTGGACTCAACTAACGATACAATTGATTAACAACATGCTGATTAAATAAAGACAGATGCTTGTCTGCCTCTCCCTGCAAAATAATGCATAAATTATACCCCGAAGAAATCTACAATCCTTGCGCAATCCCTCCGCTCAGCCTCTCTCGGACATAACTTATCACATTTCCCCATTTGAATTTAGATAGCACAACACACACACTCAGAAGCACTCACTTGTATATGTACTCGTATGTGTGTTTAGTGCAGGGAAGCTTATTTAATTAAATATAAATCGCTGCGCTGGCACACATAAATTTTAAACTAAACAAATGTGGGTTTGGTAACTAAATGAAGCAGAAGCGGAAATACTCTCTTTTATTTGGGGTATGGGGGTTACCTAAAATACATATCCTGGATGTAGGAATTTGTAATAAATTAAGGGAAAATTAATTTTTAGTGAGATGTAAGGGAAATGAAGAGTCAGATGAGTATAGGTACATATGGTTGAGGCTTTAAAGAAAGATCAAATTAAAGTGTAAAATATATTAACATCCAGCCATATTTTATAGCATATCCTCTTCTGTAGTTATCGCACATATACATATATATTTTTAAATCCCTTGCAAAAACTTCCATACCCTGTCACCGATTAGAGTGAATTGTCAGTCTGCTTCTTGGCTTCCTTCCATTTTGTGCTAAATAAATAAGAGAGGCGTTGTCTCTGACATCTTTCACACACAAACACACACACACAAACACACACACACCCACTACAATACAACAATTAATCATTACGTTAAAGCAACTCCACTGACTCCATTTCCACTCCAGTTCCATCTCCATTCAGATCCATCTCCTCTCGCCTTGATTCACATGGCGTATGCGCATTGCCAAATAAATTACGATTTAAAGGCACAGACACAGTAGCCTAGAGTGTCGGCGGCACCTGTGGACCTCTGGAATATATTTAACCTTAGTCTTGGATGGATAATCCTTTGGTTTTTATATGTATTTTGTTTGGGCTTAGTTCATATTTATTCATCATTTATTGTCCATAATCAATCAATATGCTGCTTGATTTGATTATTGCTTTCCCATGATTGTTTCATTGCTGTATGCTGTCGTCGCCCTTTTTGAATGAAGAGCAATCCTTGGTTCCTCTGATCCTGCTCCTGCCACTGCTCTCGCTGATGCTCCATCTCCTTCCCCTTCTGGTAATTCGCGTTAGTCGCTCCAGCAATTTATATCAATACAAATCCAATCGCTGGCATACCCAGTGCGTCCTTCATTTCTGCCTCCCATCCCACTGTATGAGCTGCTGATTTGATGTTTTTTTTCTTTTTCTTTTTGTCTTTGATTGAGCTTGTTATGTGCTATCTGCACACCATTCCCACTCCTAGTCCTAGTTCCAGCTTCCCCACTTCCAGCCCCAGACCCAGCTCCAATGCCAATCGTCCCCCATTGTATTTGTCTATCGTAACTGCAGCATTTGCCATCAGTCATGGTCGCACCACGCCCTCATTTCGGCTGCCCTATCACCATCCCCTCTCCGCTTCCCATTCCCATAATCATCATCATCGCCATCTTCATTGAAGTCGCTTCAATGGTTTTTCTGTATAAATTTCTGTGTATCGGGAAGAGCTTTACGCTTCTGATTTGTTTCGACCTCTCAGCCGATGCCCCTTCCCTACGAAACTCCGAGACACTTCGCCCTAAAAACCTAAAGCTCCATAACCACTGACTGTACCTCATTCCACATGTCTGGCAGCGATATAAAAAATTTAAATGTCACGTGCCTTTCATCAAGCATCGCGACAAGGACTCCTGACGCTAGGTGCTGCCTCCGGAGCTAGAGAGAGCGAGAGAGAGAGAAAAAGAGAGAGTCCTGACCTCAACATTTAGGGGGCTGTCAATATTTGCTATTGATTTTGCCATAATAACATTCCCAGAGCGTCGATAAATTTTCAAATAACGCATTTTACCTTCCGGGCCGCACCGCAAGCCCCTCAGGGAACCCCTGAACCCCAAACCTCATGCCCCTGTGTACCCATAAATCGGAGTTGCTTGCCTCAAGGTTCAGGGGTATTGGGGTATTGGGGTACTGGGGGGTCGTGACCCTGTTATCGCGACGAACAGTCAACAATAGTAAGTGCACATTAGTGATATAATTATTGCACTTATTCTGATGGCTGCTTGCAAAGTTTGAGCAAAAGGTTGGATGGGAATTGCCGGATGGTGGAAGGGTAGGGTAGCTGGGAAAATGCAAGAAGTTTTCTGCATTTGGAAGGGTTGCAAGCTAATGGACCTAAATGGGTTTTGATTTAAGTAGCGATTACAATGTTGAAGCTATTTCGGTTTCTTAACGTGAAAAGGCGGATGATTAATGAATTGAATAGTGAAAGTATTTTGGTTTGAAGCCAGTTCTTTTTCAGCATGTTGTCGCGGACTAGGAACCAGTTTAAGATTAGCAAAGTCTCACCCTGCTCATATTTCTTTTTGTCGTTTGGTCAAATAACCAAGGGAAAACAGTTGAAGCTTTTCTATAAAGTGGCCCAAATGGATGGGCATGCCTTGTGGCAGGGAATTGCCAATAGAATGCATGTTCCCCAAGTGGGTTTTGTGTGCACAAGCCGCATGTGATGGGATGCGATGCGATGTGCTGGGCTGTGATGCGATGGGTTGTGACGCTGTCATGGCAACTTTTAATCGGCTCTGTGTCGCACAGTTGCTCATCGGCGGAGGTGGCGGGGCAATCCTCGCCTGCCGTTTACGTTCCTGATGCTTGTCATCAGTACATTTGCATACGGCCATCAGTCATGGGCCCCGAGACGCAGCACATGAGGACACCGAGGTCTCCGGTCTCAGGAAGGAAGGAAGGATGCCTCGTCTGCACTAGCACGTGTATGCCTCGGAATCTAGAGCTGAGGCATAGTCCCGGGCTTCGGATGGGGCTCTGCCCTCGTGCACATTCGTCTTGTAAACATCGAGTTAAGCGCCATTAATTTACCACCCACTTTGGGCCTGCACCTTCTCGCCCAACTTCAACTCCACCTCCGCTCATCACGCATTTGCATTGCGTTAAAATCACTTTGGTCGTTGTATTAGTGCCTCCTTTTCCCAGTTTTCACCATTTCCACCACCCACTCCCCCAAAACTCTGCCATTTTCCGTCGGCACGTTCGGTGCAAATTTTTTTTAGCGACGAAAAGTTTTTCTTTTTGATTTCTGCTTTTTACGAGCAGCCCTGGCAGGCGAATCCTTAAGTGAATTTCAGCATGTGCAGCTTACGCATTTGCCACATCGCCAGCCACACCCACACCCACCGCCACAGCCACAGCCACAGCCACAGCCCAGGGCCTCTCTGGCTCTGAAAACGTGTGATTTACCCAATGCCATGGAACTTTTAATTTAATTCACTTTGATGCGATTATTTCTCGCTTTTAAAATAATTACAATACGTGGCGTATGCGTAATAACTTTGTGCTCCACCTATTAGCGGGCTCTAAAAAAGGAGCATGAAAGAAAAAAACTCTCGAGAAAGGAAAATAACTGCAAAGAAACCAATATTCGAGTAGTCGGACTAAAGCATACCCTCTTGACCCCAAAATCTAGCAGGGAGATGGCTTTTACTTACAATCTGGATAAATAAATATGTATTTTTGGAAGTACTAAAATATAATAACATTTTTAGAGTATAGCCATCGGTCGATGAAGGTACAGCTATTCCAGGTAGATCAACTCAAGAGGATTCAGCCACTGGACATAGTGTGCATTCGAACACTGTTTGATCGAAGGTAGTTTGCCTCTGGAATCTTGCATAAAAGTGTTAATTTTCAGCATACCCAGGCTACTCTGTGGTTACCGTGTGGAAAGAAACCCAAAGGTGGATAACAAGGATTAACTGAGTGGAGCTGCGTGCCATGCACCTGTCTCAAGGGGCTGACCAATGTTGATCCCTATTAGTGGCACAAACAATTTGAAGCTCCGCCCCTCAGTCGCAGTCGCAATCCCAAGGATATGTGCAGATGTTATCTGCCTCCAAGGACGGGGATGAGACGGCTGGGAGTGTGAGACTGCAACCAGTTGCGAGACTTTTTACCGACTGTGTGTGTGTCTGTTTGTGTATGTTCTTGCCAGTGTCCACTCGGCTTAACCGCAAATCCTTTTTAACATATAAAAAGTTACGTTTCTCCTAGATGTTGCCCCGTCTGACTGTCTGCCTGTCTGTCTGTCTGCCTGTCTGTCTGGGTCGGGTTGGGTCGCCCGTCTCACTCTACCACTCTCAGGGTCGGGTGTGTGTATTCCCATAGTTGTTGTCAACACCGTTTTATCCATGGCATTGCGTGGCCAGGCCATGTCCTGGTTTGGTTCTGGTTCTGGCCCTGGTCCTGCGTTATCCTGTGTGCGTTGCGTTCAATTGAATTTGCGATATGTGAATATTTAAGCACTGCGCTGGGACCCTCAACCAGAGGGGGTCTCCAACTTCGTCTCCGGCTCTGCCTCTGCCTCCGACTCCAACTTCAAGTCCTTTTGCTGCTCATGTTGTTTGTTTGCTTGTATCTACATAACTATCATTGCTTTTGTGCTTTCCCCCCACCCTCCCACAGAGTGCAGTGTGGGAAAGTGTGTGATTGAATTTTTATTGCATGATAAAAGCGAATGCCAGGTGGAACCGAAGCCATACCCTTAGCCATAGCCATAGCCAGAGCCAGAGCCAAAGCCAAAGTCCGAGCTAAAGGAAGCTTCTAGACAGCCAAGCTGGACATACATTGTTAACATTGTAAAATATTTGTATTCAAGATTTCTGCTAACCACTGGCCAAGTTTATTGATTCCTTATCCATATATAACCCGCACTTACCAAACGCTTTCCCTCTGTCCAGTCTGTCCACTCGGTCCACTCGGTCTCTCTCTGGTTTATGTCTCTTAGCTGTCGGACACTTCGACTGACAACATTTGCAAAATGACACACGGAAAATGGACAGGAAACGAAGTCTGCGAATGAAGATGGAGCGTACCGGAGCGGACGAAGGAAGTGAAATGGGAAATATGTCAATGCAACTGTGGTTTCAAATGCTCTGTAATTTAAAGCACGACATGTT